TTTTTTTTATTCTCCATTAAAATTATATTAAAATTTCTTTTAGTAAACATATGTTTTCTTAAATGTATTATATACAGAAAGATTGTAAAAATTACATACCAAACAAACAGAACGCAGTAAGTTTTGTGTTGCAAAAAATCTTGTTAACTTTATAAATTGTTTATGGTTTAAGTTTTACTAAAAAGTGAAGAAATATAAAAATAAATATATTTTATTTTCAGACTGCGAGGTGATAGTATTTCTTTGTGTGATTTTTAAGATTAAAAAACTTTGCCACTTTAACATTTCATTCATTTTAAATTACTCTTTAAAATGCTTTTCGGGATAAGTGCCACGCACTTTGAACCATATTACAAACTACAAACAAAAAAAATATGTAAAACGTATTTTTAAAACACCATTTTCATAACTAATATTAAGTTTAAATATTAATGTTAAAGTATTTAATTTCCTAATAAAAAGTATTTTTTGTATGCAAGAGAAATAAAAGCAAATCATTCATAGAAAAAAAATAACAATAGAATCTTGCAATATTTCTATTATTATAGTTTGCATGAAAAAATAAAATACATTTTATGTAAATATAATACGACTCATGGTTTTTTTAAATCGAATAAAAAAATTCTTAAAAAAAAGTCATTAGCATAACTAAAGAAGAGACTGGTAATAAACTTCTATCTATTTCTAGTTTACTTATTTTTTTGTTCTTAAAAGAAGCTCCCACGCATAAACAAATATTTTCCTAATAAAATGAATCCAAAACCATCTTTCGATAAAAGAATGCATATGAATCACAAAGAGTAATCTAAACACAAATAAAATGATAAAAAATTATATTTAAGTATTTACATTAAGTACATTTTTATTAAACACATTATGATTGTATTCTATACGTTATAATCATGAATTTTGGATAAAAATTATTACATTAATTTAAATTATAAGTATGTTAAATTATATTTGAAAATTATAGAAATATAATATTTATAAATATATTGAACAATTATGTTGTTGTCAATCATTAAGTATTAAGTTAAGCTTTATCTTTCTGTACCATATATTGTGTATACGTATATTACATAATGACACGCTCACACATTGGAATACACAATACATAATATGTACTACATATATATTCTGGCATAAGATTAATGGAAAAAACTTTGAATTATGCAATTTTTAACTAATCATATTATCTCAACCTTAACAAGAAAATTGGGGTTGCATGTATTAAATGTTTTCTCTTATAAATAATTATAATGTACTTATTTATTATATTTATCATTACGTTTATTATATAAACGAAATCCATATTTTTTATATACAATAATACAATTTAATTTTCAAGAACAAATACAATACAATTTACTGTAATATCAAAGAAAATGCTTTTGTTATAAAAAAATAAATTGGGAAAAATATATAGTGTACAACGACAAAAAAATTTAATTGTGGTTCATAATTTAAATAATTTATATAAATTATATCAATACTTCTATTATTATACAAAATATAATACCCTCTCCAATATAAAATATGTTATAATATACATATTTATAAATAATACAATAGGTTTAGAGAAAAATATTGTATACATTTAAAGCTATTCAATAATTTATTTAAATTTGTTTTATTTAATGAGGCCTATTTAAAGTCGATAGTTTCTAATCATTTTCATTTCAATAAAACGTTGGATAATAAGCATAAAATAGTACAACCCATAAAAAACCCATAAATACCATAAGGAGGTTATAACATGGAAAGTAACGAGTTATGGATTGTAAAACAATATAAAAATGTTTTAAAACAGTCACTATATTATATATTTTATTATATATTGAGGTGTATTTTATAGTAGATATCAACCATGTACTTTAAACCAAATCCTAGATAGGTTAAATTGCAATAAATTTCATAGCATTCAGGTCAACAATGTAACACATATTCATTCAAATTCCACCAGCAAGTTTACCTTCCACCTTTCCAAATAAACATATACACTCACATACAAATACCCACATTATTTCTCTGTCCACTTAATAATAACAGTCGTACATTATATTCACTGAAACTATTTGTCTCTGGAAGGATTAGTTGTAAGTTCCCACTCTATTATTAGTACCCATATGATTTATTAGCCGGTCAGGGAGTAAGTTAAATTTACAGTACGTTTTACGTATGCCTATTTCGTTAAATATGAGTTGTTAAATAAAACCAATTAGACAAATTGTACGGAAATTAAATGTTATAAACTAAAACTTATTTTATAAAATAAAAATATATTTTTAGCTAATTATATTTTCTTATTCTCTGTACCCGATACGTAAATTGCTAGTCTTTATATTCAGCTTACACACAGGATAACAGAAATAAGACAACAAATAATAACATAAAATTATTTATAACGAATACGCACCAGAATGTGTAACCATGGTAGAAAAATAAATTGATATACAATTCACGTGGTTAAATGAATTAAGCACGTTTACGTGGGTTATTTTTTTATTTATTTACCGATCACCGTTGCTGAGTAAAGCCGGGTTCACACAACACCGTGTCGTGTCGTGTCTTCTAAAATAATTATCTCTGATTGGTTAAACCATATTGTTATATCAGTGTATACCATATAATAAACCACAAGTTACTCACTAACCATAAGATACCGTGAAGTTGATTTTATCCAACTTTTAAACGTATGTTTACGATTTTAATAGTAATAATTTAATATTCTAACATATATAATAACATTATTCATAATAACAAAGGGTTCGGAAGGTGTTGCATTTGTATGATTCTATTGGACTATTCAATTTATTGCTAAGTAACCTTGAAATTATTTTCATGACACTATGAAAAACCTAATGGGAATATTTTGAAAGAAAATTTCAAATTTCAAGCTATTTATTTTACTTTTATTTTATTTTATCTTTTATATTTATACTTAGAAATTATGTTTAACTTAATATAATATACTAACATTTTCTGTTATGTACGAGTATATTTAATAAAATATCTTTATTTATGAACATTTTTGCGTTAAAAAAATTAAATACACATTTTTGAAACATATTTGTACTTTTTTAAACGCATAAGTGCATGTATATTTAGTACTTTTTAAGTGCATTAAGTTCCGAACCCTAATAATATTATAATACATACTGTCTACTATATAATTTAATATTGATCAGTTATTATTTATTGAAACTTATGAAAATATTTCATATCTAGTAAAAAAACTGAGGAAATATGTAACCAAAATTTGATAGCATCACAATATGATATATATTGATATCACACATTTTCAAAGCACACGGTCTGGTAAAATACACGTCACGGTGTAGTGTGAACTCAGCTTAACTTTGGCGCCTAACCGGCAGTAACCAACCTGCTTGTATGTCTAGCAATAATTTTAACCGATAATTACCAAATTGCGCGTGTACCCAAACAATAATAATTTAGTATGAAAACACTAAAAGTCAGATTGTAAGGGGAGGGGGATGGAGGTTATTTAACGATTTTTTTTTGCTGTCGATTAAACACGCCAATACAGTATTAATACGATAATAAAAACAATAAAATGATATCCTGATGGTTAGATTGAAATTATATCAAAGACGAATAAGATTCAGGATAGAAAAGACGATTAAATTGCACTGAATTCGTTTAGTTATTAACAAACGAACTATTTACCGCCGAATTTATCTTTAAATGATGAGCGGTAATGTTTTATAATTTTTAATATTTACACGAAACAAAACAAAATATTGATACCAATCTAATTAGAACGCGTACGGTGGTTTATGTTACAGGTGCTGAAGAAAAAGTTGATCGGAAAACGAGACAAAAGACGTCGGTGGTTGGCCGGGCACGCTACAGAGGCCACTAACTGTTACGACAACGAAGCTGTGGACAACATGATCAACGAGTTCATCGACAACAAGAAATCTGCCTGTGAATATCGGTTGTAACGAAATTCACGGTACCACGTTTTGCCGTTAAGACCGATGGTTCAACGCCGCGGGAGTGCATAATTGTAAATATAAACTGTACGCCCGCTGGTGGCCGAGACATTTTTGCACCGGTAACCATGTTCACGTCAATATCGTAACACTATCACGATACGAGCGAAAACAATGAAATCTAAATGAAAATAAATATGTTTGAGCATCCGATACCGAATACGTGGTAACTATAACGAAATTATTTTTTTTCCCGCGATCACACGGTAAAGCGATAGTACAAGTGATTGTAATCAAATGAACGATATCAACTGCGTGAAAGTGATAATATTTCATGCTGCAGTACGGCGCATGTTGTGTAACATTTGAAATGTTGAATCGGTTGGCTTATGAAATAACTAAAACACGTGGGCAATGCATAAAACTTACACTTAAACTATCCAGCTATTTTACACATCCCGGGGCTCGTTTTATTGATGTATCGAATTGTACAAAACATGTACAGTGTTTTACCTGTTCCAAACGAACGTATTGCATTAAGATCAGCGGCAACTGAACAGTCACATTTTTTTTTTCAAGTGCACTCGTACAAAAAATGTGATACAAATTGATGAATTTATAGAAAAGTCGTAGTATTGTGTCACTTGTAATGTCGCAACAGCCTTGCGTGTGCAAATAAATAATGTAAAAATAATCGATTCAGTTTAATAAATTATAATACATTTTGAATTCAAACGTATTCTGTACTTTAACGGAAGTCCAACGAAAACTGTGTGAAATAACTGGTTCAAATATGGTTTTCATGTATTATTTCACGTTTTAACCAACGTTCGCGGGTAATCCCGGAAATACCTAGTTATTCGGTAGAAAAAAACCGTAATTCAACACGCCAACTGTAACGCGTACTGATAATGTATGCATGATGACACTATCGATTTCTAAAAAGCTTCGGCGATTCCGTTTCACCCGTTACAATGCAAAACGGAATACAACATGAAGTTATCGTATTTACATGGAACAGTAGAATATCGATCGACTCACTCGACGAAGATTTCTCGATGTCACCGATCTCGGTCTCGAAGACGTTCACGCGGACGACTGTCGAATACGTACGAAAATCACGCGCGTACGAGAGCACACGAGCACGCGGAAGAATCTTCGCGCGTTCCGAGCTGAGACGGTACTGCTACAAACTTCGTTCTCCGGCGGTGCGGCGCGACTGCTGGCGGTCGCGGCGTCGGTCGATAATCGAATAACTTTTACCGTGGGCGACCGACTGCTGCCCGGCATGCGCCGTGACGGCCGGCAAACGAACGCGCGCGCGGGGCCGGTGTGGTGCGTCGACAGTTACCGCTTAAGGGTTTTTCCCCGTTTTTCGAAACCAATCAATTCGGCAATCACCGATCACCCCGTCTCGCCAAAGAACGGTGTTATAGGGAACGATTGTCGCGTCGTCGTCGTCGTCGCCACCGAGGACAGGTGACCCACGAAAGGAACCGCGAATAAAACACCATCAGATACGTTCGAACGCGGGTGGGACACGTGAAAAAGTGTGTGTTGGTACGGAAAAATTATCCTTTACCGCCACGCACGTGAAACGAGAATCAACGGCCGAATGCGGTTTCCGTGCGGTTCTCGGCACGGAGAACGACGGCCTTGAAATCCGATTGTTTTCGTTTACCGCCGAATTCCTGTGGTAGTCTTCGCCATCGTCGAATGCGGTCGGCGACTCGGTGACATTACGAAGATGTGATCGGCTACGGTCGTATTCAAAAGCGATGGGTGCTGCGGCCGGGTCTTTTGGCTTTGGAACGACTCGGATCTCGTCAAATATCGACAAGCGCGATTAACCGGACCGGACATCTGAAATGTAACCGTACCTGTGATTTGATCGACGGACGGTGGACAACGTGGGAAGTGAACCATAATCAGTACTTGACCAATTATTCCAATCGACGTCCATAACAAGTAGATACTAGACGTGTGCTCTTGAACTTTATAAAACGGCAAACAACAACAATTCAGATGTGATACCGTGCCGAGATGGACTGCTGTGGATACTGTGCTACTCAAACTTTTATAACTCCGACACTATAAGAACGCATCCCTGCTGCGATGGTACTCTACGTGATTAAAGAACTGTGGTTGTTGTTTAATCGTGGTCCTTGCAGTGACCGAGGTTAGAAAACTAAATAATTTTCCCGGTGGATTCAATGAACCGGGCGATGAAATGAGTGCGAACTTTCAGGAGTTTGTGTTCAATTTAATTTCGTAAAATATACGAACGCGAATTTATAATTGATTTCGTTTTTAAGAATTGCAAATACGACCTAACTATTTTTTTCGTTTCGATTTATTTCGAGAATGCAGATATTTAAAAAAAAATCTCTGTTTCAGGTACCCTCTATTAGGACTGTGCGATTATTTTTTCTTTGGAATATTCGATTATTTAAATAATATTCGATTTTAATTGAATAATCGAATAATTGTTTATTGATAGACTAATCGATTAATAATCGAATAATCATCATTTCATTTAGAATCGAATAATCTTACTACTGAGTTATTTAATAATAGTAATAATTAAATAATTATTCTGATTTAAAAGTTTTATTAAATAAAAAAAATATAACAAATAAAATAACATCATCTTGTGTACAAAATATAACTGTTTACCTTAAAATTCAGTTTTGAGTCTTGACTTAAATCTAAAATTAATATTATACATATCTAACGCTGGTTTTGCTATATAATCTTTATTCGTGGATAGAAAAATTAGCTGGCTTGCATGTTCATTTGTTACCGACAATCTATGGTCAGTTAATACACAGCCATCTTTACTAAAAATACATTATTGCGGCAGGTCGCCTTCATCGACAGTTTCCAGAAAAAGAATAACTATTGCTAAAAATAAACAAAAACAAAATACACCAATCGAAATCCAAATACACCTTTTAAATGAAGACATTTCATTGAATAATAACAAATTAAAATGGATATACTGCATATAGCACAGATAAAAATAAATCGAAAATAGCCATGTTTTTCATTATAATTCATTTAAATAATAAACTTTTTTCTTCGATTATTCGATTATTCAACTATTCGATTATTTTTGGATATTTTAATTAATAATCGATTAAAATATTCGATTAATTCAACTAATCGCATAGCCCTACCCTCTATACCAAATCTGACGCACCCTGCTGCCGCCGCCGCAGTCATACAGAACCATCCAACGAGGATAGTAATATTATTACGTTGGGTTTCTGTAGCACTTTTCTCGGGTTTAATTATTCAATTGTTTTCGCCGTGTACATTTAAAATGATATTGCTGCCTATCGTCGTTAGATGTTATTTCAAAACGAGAAAAACACTAAGGTCGCCATAATCTTATAATTAAAATATTATTTCACCAAACCCATTAGTGAAACGATACGTTTTTTTTTTCATCTCTCGCCATCAAATTGATATTCCATTTGATTGCATGCTAAACTATCATTGGTCACTTAAAAATATTACGCTCGTTTAATATTCTAATTTATTATAATAATTTATAAATTATTCATGTACACGGACACCTGTTTTTAATCATGCTTTTTTTCTTAAAAACATTGCAAATTTACTAAGTTTTAGTGCATGGTTAATGTAATATTTGAACATTAACTATTTTTTTTTAAACTACTTCTAAAAACTATATTACTTATACATTTATAATCCTTTTTAAATCAAAGAAGTTGAACACGTAACCACAAATAGTGGTGAATTATATATTTAATGTTTAAATTATCAAGACTAGTAGATAATATATTATAATGATTCTGTAGACGTATTATTTTTATTTTTATGATTTTTTTAAATTTTATTATATTTTATGGATGTTACAAAATGTATTTTATATATCAACCTTACTCCGATGTAAATAGATATTGAAATAAATAGTTCAACTAATACATAAAATAATATCACACTGCGTATTTTATTTGTTGTGACAATTTGTGTGACATGTTTGACAAGTTGTATTTTAAATATTGCTTGTGAATTCAAGAATTGAGCCGTAAAAAGCAGATTAGTTCTTCGAGAAGATTTAATCATAGAGGGAATATACAATATATGAAGCACACACACGCATCCATCTACCAAGTCACGTTTGTTTGAGATATTAACTGTCGTATGGGAAAATCGATGACCATACGTGAGACTATTTAAAAATAGTTTTTCTAAATAGAATTTCGACGTTCAGAGGAATTTTCTAAAGAATTCAGACTGGCATACGTATGCGGCGGGGATGATTTAAACAGCGGCTGCAGTAAGACAAATGGTTAATAGTTATTCCTACAGTATTATCGTAATGGTTATGCTTATTTTACCATAATCAAATTTGAATATCTAACTAGCAATTTATTTTGATGTTCATTTGTTAGATGCATAACATTTTTATGAATTGACTTTAAACAGTTCAAATTATGAGCATCAAGTATAGAGTAATGAATGAATGAAATTCTACGATATTGTGATCTCGGTAGTAAATTACTTACCATCAAATATGATTAATTTTCAAATATATGAGTATATATATATAATGGATCCCATATTTTATTTCTATTAATTTTTATAAACATAATAAATACTGAAAAAAAATAATAAACAAGTGCATACTTTTAATAAGGCACTGTATTTCAACAATAATAATTTTTAAATTTTGTGAGTGCGTAAACTGCACTGGTCCATAGAAAAAAAAATGAATAACATTTTAAGCATAATTATAAGAAATATAAAAATAGACAATACAAAAATAATAGCTTAATTATTGTTTACAAAATAATAATAATAATATATTATATAATTATTATTAGAATATAATAAGTAAATATAAACAGTGGTAACCAAATATATTATCATTCTAAACGTACAAAATATAATTTAAAGCCTATATACAATAAATCGATAATAATAATAATAATATATAATAATACATAAATCATGCGCAACATATTTTAACACAAGTAAAAATATGCAATCAGTATTATATTCAAGACACATGTACAATTTATTACAAAAGGCACTTAGGTTTTAGAGAAAATTACGTTTAGAGATCAAAATGGTCGTGCAATCAGGTGTGTATTGCACACGAGATAAATCATTAATCAATGCACTGTGGTGTACATAATATAGTTGTCGCAAACGAAATTTGGATTAAAATAAAAATAATAATACTGTACGGAGAATTAACATTTCTATTTTCATTAACATTTCATGTGTAGCGAGTCCTAGTGGGTGAGTAAAATATATCGCTGACACTATTTCACGTACACTCTATCAATAGAGTAGTAAATCGTTTCCAATTATTATTCGTCATGTCAGTTCACGAAAAATAATAATTAAATTAACTAACAATAAGTTAATAATTCGCACTATAGAACGAGTATGATCACATTGTAATCTGTATTAATATGTATTAATAATTTATATTATGTACAATAAAAAAAAAAAATTGGTCCTCTCGTTTAAAATGCACCAACAGACACACCCACGGAATTTGTATAGTGTCTATAATCAAATAAGAAAGCCCCCCTTTCCCGGTAGATTTGTTCGAGTCGCAGAGTAATAATAATAATTATAATAAAAACTACATTACAGCTTATAGTTATTATACGTACATAAATATATATATTTAAGTTTTAACAACAACGCACGACAATAACGAGTCGCGACGTAACGTCCGAAGTAAATGTGTTATGTACATCGTACAATGTATCAACGTTATAATAATAATAATAATAATAATAATAATAATAATAATATAATAATGATTGCCAATATTAAGCTCGGTATATTAATATCAATATTAAGGAATGTGTCATATTTCGATACGAATGTTGACAACATAATATTTTGTAAAACGGTGTATAAAATGTAAGATGGATTTCAATCGGCGGAAGAGTAGACGTAAAAACTGCCTCCATATATGTTTATTATATAATAATTGTATATTATAGTTTACACCTCAAATCATATATTATACATCAATTATATTCTTAATATTCGACTGCTCGTTTTTTTTGATTTTATTGTTTGAGATCTTTTTTCCGCCTCGACCGTCCTCATCAGTCTATTACTACACACCCATACATACTCTTATAACACACGTTGTTTAATAATCAGTCACTATGGTTCTCCGTCGGCCCGAAACCGCGATTGCAGCGGGCGACAAAATTTAATATACAACCTATTGGCTGGCCGTCGGTCGTCCGTCCAGACACACGGACATCCCTATATGTATGTTTTCTTGACCTTTTGCAGGGTCTTGTTCTCGACGGACGAATCTAAGTTCTTCTCGAGTGTATCGTTCTTGCACTTAGTCACGTTCACCAGCAGATTGAGTGGCGCCTTATTGTTGGGACACGGCAAGAAAGGAGCAGTGCCGATCTCCGCCGCACCGTTCATATCGGCCAGTCGGTTAAGCTGGTGATGGGCGTGAACAGCCATCGACGAAAACGGGTCAGCCGCGTGCCGAAAGTACCGCGAGCACACGAAACCGGCCGCAAACCCGATGAGCAGCGTGGCCAGCACGCACATCATCATCAGCAGACCGATAACGTCGCCCAAAGAGATCACGGGCAATTCGGAGATCTTTTCCCGCACGCCTGTTAAAAAATACAAGGGGGAAAATGTTTTAAAATTGAATATAAATGAAAGAACGCCGTTAATACCAGCAGCAGTACACATGCATATAACTATGTATAAATCGGTATCAGAACTTGGATTTTATCTCACTAAAAATTATACCTGAACAAATCTTAATCATGCTCAATTATAGTATCACGAGTATAAATAAAGCCATAGAACTGAAAAATTTTGTACATAGTGATATGAATATTAATCAAATATTTTCTTAAAGAGAAAAACTACGAAATTTGATAGTTTTAAGTCCAAAGCTCATGGTTATAACCAGAGCTCGTAAGTACATGCATTTGCATATTAATCTTGCAAAGTTGTATTTAATGCTAGATGACACAGAAATCCATTTCAAGGTACCACGGTTAAATATGTGAAATCTTATTTTGCATATTTTTGCATATTTGGCATGTTTTTGTTTATTTGACATATTTATGCATATTTCTATTTTATCGGGCATATTATACAACATTCTATTAGAATCTATCAAAAATCTATATAAAATTAATTACTGAAAATATATATAATATATATATATAAATTATAAAAATATATATAAAATTAAAAATAGAAATTGTACTATCTTTTCTTTTTTTTATATTCTTGATACTCGGACATTTAATGAATAAATTTGTTCCAAAAGTTTCAGATTTAAAATTAATTACTGACAAAGACGTACATTATACACAGTTCATGAAGGCTCAAGAATAGTTTTAAATAGTATTTAAAATCTATTTTTTTTTAATTATGAGATAAAAAAGTAAAATATAGCTATAAAAAATTGAATAGATAATTTATGTAATTTCAAAAATTATTTATGATATATTTAAGTAAGCATTTTTTAAGTGCATAATTTTAGATATTTAGTACATATAAATGAATATTTTTAACTATTTAAGGCATATTTCATAGCATATTTTGCCAATTTTAAGTGCATAAATGCATGCTTATTCAGGCATTTTTTAGGGCATGAACTTACGAACCCTGGTTATAACAGATATTTTCATAACAGTAACATATAATTTAAAACGAAAAAATATGCGCAACAAAATTGAGTTAAAATTTCTTACAATACGGAATTTGTATATTATTTTCCTATTTTCATACTAAACTGCAACATGATTGCAATAGCGATGAAATCAGATACCTGCCTGGTTATAAATATAAACTGTATAATAGGTATGAATGATACATACCGTCGTTGTTGATTATATTTTCAGTGTAACAGGGCGCACAAGATGGACATCTCGCCATATTGGATTCAATGTTGTTGTCTATACGAATAAAAAATAAAATGTGAAAATCACAATAATATGGTATGTTTTAATAAGACAACTTACCGTCTGAAGGTACGGAAAACGTGAACTTATCATCGAAATTCACTGTAAAACGAAAAAGAAATCATATAAATTACGTATTCAGATTTGTGTTTTTTCAACGCATTCTAAACATAATAATAAAAGACAAGCACACATACCTTTAGGGCAAGCATTACTATTCTGGGTCAAACCAATGGACTGAACGAAATGCTGTTTGGACGAACTCTTAACCTCCAAATGGTTTACACAATGAATACCGTCCCACGCACAATATGGATCTTGGAGATCGATACATTCTCTGCAGACAATCGTATCGTTAAAATTACCATCGATAATAATTTTTTAATCGCGTAACCCGCAACACTATTATTATAATCGCATTCTTACTGGCAAGTTGTCTTCAGGTAGCAACGATCTAACGGCACGGAAATTATGTGTTGATCGAACGTAGCCACTATTCTACCAGGCTTTCCGTCAATGGATTTGATGATGTTTAACGTCCGGACCGGAAACGATTTCGTGTTATTCGTGGTGAGATTCACTTCTTCGATGTTGATGAACTCGGGTGATCCGTTGTTCATGTGTAATGCACCTTTAACTAGCCTTCCGTCATCTGTGAACAAGATAATTAGGTAAATAGATTGTGTGATATTAATTCTCGAGTTCCATGTTAAAAACACACACTATACATTTATATCATATGGAATACGACAAAATTACATACAATTATTTAATTAAGTAGTCTTACCGGTGCCCAGAAACAATATGTCGTAATATTGTCCTTTTACACCCGCAATCTGATTGTCCACTACGATACTGGTTAATCTGGATTGCAGCGATATTCGAGTGAAAATCGGTTTTAAGAACAATGACGGAACCGCGTCATCCATCAACGAATGACTCTTGACAAAATTAACCGTAATATCGGGCAATGTTCGACTGTCTTCCACACATGTACCAGGACGTGGCTCGGGAATCTATAAAATGTGTATAATAAATAAGTCAAACAGTGTACGATGAAAAATAATTATTATTTTAACAACAAGTAATACCTTTTTCACTGGCAACCAGTTGGAATCCATCGCCTCTTGGTCTTTGAAAGATCCCATGAAAGTTTCGATTACGTCGCTAATATTGAACATGCATACGGCAGAACCGCTGATAGCGTTTACGGGCGTGTTAAACACTCCATACACGATGGGATCAGTAATGCCGGTAAGAGCGGTATTCAAGACGTCGCTGGTATCCTCTACGAGTATTTAGAAAGTAAATTTAGAGCATTTTTGAATAAAATAAAAAATAAATGCATAATATTGTAATTGGTACTCACGAATTTCGTCGAAATAAAATGGATATTCGCCCGGAATGGAACAATTAAGTCGAGCTTTCAAGAACGAAGTCCAACGGTCCCTGTACGAATGTGGACCACCTTTATCGTATTTGCAAACTCTCGCCACTCGTGAATATATAGCCTGCACGAAGAAAATTGTTTAAAATTAGTGGACGCAGTTCTTCCAAACGAATAGACTTAGAATTGTATTTAAAAACATTTTATATATGTAGTGGAGCTGAATGAAAAGGTTTATTTACTTTTCCGCAATTGATGTACTCGACAGCTATTTCTCTGAAGAAGAAGAAAATGTAATCCTTGTATTCTAACGAACTTACAAAGTTTGGATCTACAAGAGAAAAAAAAACCACAATAATTAAATGGATGCATTATAACTATCGGAGACGCTACGTTGTTATTATACTATCGTTATATATTCTACGTACCGTTCAGTTGTTTAAAGTCCAGTCGTTCAGTACGCATCGGCTCTTTGTATATAAGCGGATCGCTGCCGGAAAAGTCGGCGACGGTTCCCGAGTACAGTTGATCACCGGCATAGATGGACGTACTGTTGTGCAACGGATCGTACGGACATCTGCCCCGTCCGTCCATTTCCTCTGCGCCTTTGGTACCGTCCTGCGTTGCGGAAAACGAAAAGAACGAATTACACACGGCCGTCATTGTTATCCGCTGCCGCTGAGTTATATGCGGTGCGAAAACCTTAATATTTCACGTAAGACATTATTACTACTCACGGTCAAATTGAAAATTTTGCACATTGGATGAAAAGCGTTTGTGCCGCAGACGAACAGCTCTTCGTCACTCTTTTTAAACGCCACTCTTATGTAATTTTGGCAATCGTCCTAAACAACATAATTGAACGACGTAAATAAATAAAACCGGTACGTTGGATTTTTCGATGGAAAAAAATAATCATACGTAAGAAATTACTCACCTCCGATTTGCCCTTCAACTGACACATTTCGTAATTAGCTTCCGAAGAATTCCAATAATATCGCTGCAAAAAAAAAAAAAAAATTAAAAAATGCATAATCATATATATATATAATGATCCTGATGATTTATTATTTATTTTCACAATACGAACAGTGTTATGTACACTAAATTTTACGCATTTTGCATGTAAACTAGAACAACTACTAAATCTTCGTTTTCAAAAACAATTACGCGGAAACACTTTTCATCTCGGTCAATTATTCAATTTCGAAAACCAATCTTATAGTTCAAATTTTCCCAGGAAACATTTATAATAAAAACCTACTAGAATTTATTTCGCAACGGTGAACATCAGTGGCGGTGGCAGTAATATAATTACATTGGCCATCTATATACTAAATTATAACGTATGCATATTACAGCATACACTTGTTGAAACAAATTCACGATACCTTTTTAAATATTTAATTTATCTGTATAAACATATATATATATATATATAAAATAAATAATTTAAGGAAATTTACTACGGTAAAAATAATAATAACATCAACGAAAACAAGTTTGATTTCGTGTTTCATTAACAAATGGGCACCGCGTGCACGCGTATTATTATAATTGTACTTTGTTTTTATGTGGGTTTTTTTAATCTAGCAAAAAAGCACATCCACAGCTAATGGCCGTCGGTCAGACGACCCACTACTGTCAGCTACTATGTACATAACAATAGACTAGATTAATATATAAATAACACGTCTTTTATTAAGCAATTAATTAATTAACCACGTGAAACCGAATACGTTTCTCAAGATGTCTAGGAAACGGAAATTGTAGTCCGCGGGAAAAAAAAATGTATCCCTCCACCCCAATGAACGGTATCAGCCGTTTATATTATGCATTGTATATTAAACCATATGGAAATGTATAAATGCGTATTGTGACGCGAATTTACGTCGTTAAAACATAACGCTCTAAAAGACATTGAAACTAAATATCATCGTGGACCGGGCCCGTATACGCACGTACGTCTATGCAGGCTTTATTTTCGACGTCTTGTTGTTAGGATAGAAGAAAAAAAATAGGGTTACGCGTATTTATTATTACAACGCGTCTAAATATATATAATATGTGAACATACGAGTATATTAGTATATATAGTCGCCCGTCTGACGGACAACGACGCTTTCAATATAGGACGGGCGCGTGCACACCCCTTTTTTACATTATATACGTACGTTTTGTTTCGACTAGCCTACGGAGTTAGGGTTAAAAATAATTTACCAAAATTAAACCACCACAGCGTACGCTAGGGAGATAACTTTTAACAGGCGATTTATTGTAATAAATTTACCAATCAATCAAAATACAATACATTAGTAAGCTTGACTGCTGTTGGTATTTATTATACGACGAATAGTATTCATGACGTACCAAACAAAATTTTAAAAAACGAATATAACCAATGAGACTAAATACTTGAAATTCGTATTGAGTGTATTGAGAAATTAATTATAATATTATTACGACTTAGAATAGTATTCTGATCGTGTTACGACGCTTTAAATAATTAAACCGTACAAGTTTGTAATTTAAATATCCTTATTGTTCCTGTATATATGACTTATGTAACATTACGTTTAAAATATTAGAAAATTATATATAAACATCATCAGCGATTATGTTACACAAATAAGGTATGTTATAATATGAAGATTAAGAAAGTCTTACTTGAAATTAACATGTATATGCACACTCCTATTTTCTACGGCTAAATAAAAAATAGCTTTGATCACAACTTTATATTTATTTAGTAAAAAATAAAATCGATGTGCTATGGTTTAACACGAGATTAAAATTATTTATAGTGTACTTAGAAATTACACATAATTATCTTAACGAATCGAATAATACCCTAAAAATGTTGAAAATAATTTATGTTTTTTTATTTATTTATAAAAAATAAATTAAAAAAAATTTATTTTTATTTTTATATGCACCTCAATATGCAAAAGAAAAATGTTGACTTTTACATATGTTTTGGTTTAATTTAAATTTAAAATGTTATTTTAGATGGAGAACATTGACCTACTTTGTATACAGTAAATATATTTAATAATATATAGCATGAAGAAGATTGCGGAAATGCTTTGACCGAGCTATTGTGCAATTGAAATTATAATTAGAAAGCGACTTGTCTCCGAAATGTAGCCATACCTATACAATATAAGTCAGGAGACGGACATTTAATTCGTAATTTACTAACAGAGGCCATCAATCATAAGATATGTTGTCGTTCAGAATACTACCGGTCTGCCCACGATGTCTGTCACTAGTTTGGATTTCATGTCTTCTTATCATAAAGACCAACAGTTCAATTTTTCAACAGAATCACATAAGGAAATACTAAATGGTAATTCACATTCCTTTCAAAACAATGACATTAATTAATCGAAGCTTATTTAAAGTATTACTCGTCATATGCATAAATATTTTTAATATTGGATTAATGAAAATAATAAAAAAATATAGTATTATAAAGATAATATTTACACGTAAAAAAAATCATAACTGTTCTTTCTTAGATTCAAAAAAATGATACAACGTAAAATTATTATAGATTACTATAGGGTCAACAAGAGCGATTAAGATTCTCAGCAGGCTTTCGGACACAACACCATCCAACATGACCCTGAGGCTTAATTGATATTTAACAAGGAGATTGAAAATGACCCAATAGTAATGCCCTCCCCACATTCTTTTTTCACCGAGCTATTAATTAGAAGGACAATGAAGGGTTTCTTCGAAACATATACAACACCTAGATAATAATTATTTTTTATATTGTTCGGTAGTTTTTGCGAAATAACCAGAACGCTGTTCAATGACGAACAAAAGAATGGCCCACACGTGCCTTACTCTTTCACCAATACCGCTTTTTCCATTGTTATTGATTAGACTATTACTTACTCAGATTTTTATTAATTATTCATTTTTAGACCATAACAAAAGAAAAAATGTATTTTTAAGACAGTAAAAATTATTAATTTTTGACGATAACTTACTAAGTTTTTTTTTTAAGATAGTTTTTAACAAAAACAAACTGTACGGTATGCGAAAATGTAGTAAACAAAATCATGAAGTTATTTTTTTGAAAGAGTTTGGAAGTAAATTAATTAATACAAAAAATTATTATCATAAATAAAAAATAAATACCAGTATAAATTCAAATGTATAAGAAGTACACGTTTATAATATACAAAAGCGAGATACCGGTGATCAAATGAGGTACAGGAAAGAGTGACTGATAAAGGTAAACACATCCGGAAAAAATTCGTTATGATAAATCAATTTAATGACTTAATGATTATCATATACTTAACCAAAATGTTAAAACTTATGAAGAAAAACTTAAACCTTTTACTAAATAATTGGATAATTTGGTATTTTTAAACAAACCTCGGTGATTGTTTTTTTTTTTTATTAAGGTAATAGACATAAACATAAAAATAATTAACAATTCCAAAATTTTTTAAAAATTATATTTTTGAATGTTTAATAATCTTTATTTTCCGTATTTTATATTTGCTTTTTTTTTTTTTAAGGCCTTTGAGACCATCTTACCATAGAACAAATCCTCTCCCATTCTTCTCCTATTCTCCGCTACCTCCTTACCATCCATGTCCTCGTAGTCCACTTCTCTAGCACTAAGAAGATCTTTTTTAATTCCATTTTCCCAGCGTAGCCTTGATTTACCTAGTGGTCTTTTTCTCCTTGGGTTTTCTTGGAGTACTCTTTGGACCATTGAATCTTACTTTCTACATACGTGGTCTGCCTATTCTAACTTGCTCCGTTTAATCTCGTTTATAATACTTGGTCTATTGAAAAGCTCCATCAGTTCTTGACTATGTTTATTTCTCCATCCTTGAAGATCTTGGTCATATATTTTACGAAGTACCTTCTTATCAAAAATCGCTAATCTGTCCTCCTCAGTTCTTCGTAACGTCCAACATTGTGAACCATACATGAATATTGGTCGCATGATTGTCAGGTATAGCTGAGTTTTAACCTCTTTAGACAGGACTTTCGAGCTTATTAGTTTGCCTAGTACAAAGAAACATTTATTTCCCACAATAATACACGAGTATTTATGGGGGGAAGGGGGCGAGCGAGCCCGGGCCCCCTCTGAAATGAAAAACACCAATGTTAAAGATTGTTATTTTTAACATGGATATGTTTTAACGCTGGGGGTTTCTGAAAATTTGTCGCAACACTGAGAATGTTGCTTATGCGATAATTTAAAATTTTATATTTATAAAATATGTTTATTCTTTTAAGAAAATATGCGATGAATTTTGAGTGACTCTAATAAAAAATTTGTTTATTATAATGTAGTTTTTATACTTTTAAAAAATAATAAATAATTAAAAAATTGAGTTTCTTATTTCTCGGATGGTGTAAAGACAGTCGAGAAGTCTTATAGTGTTAAAGTAATTTTTTTCATAATAGTGTGCTTCCTCCTTCCCTTCCATCCAAAAATGAAATACATAATCGGCCCCCTCCGAAATGAAAACCTATACACGTCACTGCTCCACAGTGTTCCAAATAATTACCAACCTATAACATTGACTTAAACATACTTAATCTAATTATAGTATTCGATGAATACAGTTTACAGAAAAAGCATTGCGATTATTTTTTGATTTTATAAGTGTTAAAATCTAAAAAACTGTAGAGTTATGGGCAATTTTTAATCCATGCCAAAGCAGAAGACGTTCATACTTCAAATAATGAAGCGCTGGAAAAATAATCATATTGCAACTATAATAAAAAACCTTTTGAATTTCATATCAAATCAGTAAACAGAAAAGGTAAATGGTTTTAAAAAATGAATTAGCTATTTACGTTACAAAATGTGATTTCCAATATTTTGAAAAAAAAAAAATCAATAATGAAAAAAATTTACTGGTGGGTTTTCACCTTGATCTGATAAAATTAAAACGGATAATATCACTTACAGGAGCTTCTACGTGTAAAAATGACCAAGTTTTAAAATTTTAAAGAAGAAGCGTTCACATTAATTCATTTATTTACCATGAATATTATAATATTAAATAACGTAACCTTCGACTCTATAACTACATGCGTGCGTGTGGTACCATCATCACAATATTGTAATAGTTTTTCCAAATCCAAATAGTCAATAAATAAAAACCTGTTATTTCTTAATTTTAAAAACAAACTTATCAATTCTTCTTATACGATTATGTTATAAGTTGGTAATACAACTGGTTTTTAAAATTACCGTAAGCAAAGAGTACAAACGCCCATACTACCACCACTACTACACATATATACTTGTACAGTTGAGACCATTTATACATATTATTCGGATGACACATATTCTTTACCTACCATTATTTTATTATTATTCTGTTTGTGATTCAGTGTACTACGACGTAGTTGGTAAAACGATGTTTCCGGTGGGTCACTATATTACGATGATTCGAGACAACTGAATAGCCAAATCCACTATTGTTGTTTGTACGAAATAAATTTAAAATATAAAAAAAAAAGTTTCTACATGGCAGGTTCATATATATATATAATATAAACACTTTTTTCGAGATGATAAAATCTGCAGCCGTGTACTCAAAGCAACGGGCTGGAAAAACTATCAAAAATGCGACGAAAATTTCGTTAAATTACCGAACCGATGTAAGCCACCGCTATGCCATATTGATACCATACCAGTTTGATATTTAAGTATCTCCCGGCTATTATTTAAACGTGTCTTCTACATTATTTAGTAGCACCGAGAATACATGAACCTAATATTTTACAGTGCAACAAATATAAATCTACTCACGTGATTTTCTTTCATAGTGTCCAAGCTGATATTGTACAGTACATTTCTGAAATTAAAAATTTTCAATTAATTTCAATACATTTACTGAATGGTATTGTTTGCTAAATTACATGGCGTAAAATAAAACCATCGGACATACTACATACATTTTATACTAATTGATTCTTGAATATAGCAGTCGATTTTATATTTTACGTAAAAATTAACAATTATACAATTATATTGAGAATGTCCACGCTTGCATAGTTCGAATCAACAACATATTTCTGGTATTACGTGAAAATTATGAACGTTTTAGAACGTTCAGAACCTTATTTAATTCAAATTATTACACAGTAATAAGTATTAATTACAATATTCAGACTATTCTAAAGCTATGTTCACAGTAAATGGAGGAACGAAAATCGTATACAATGTATAACATAAGAAATGGAATGAAAACAGTTATTTGATACGATCTTACACGATTCGACCACAAATTAAAATTTCGAAACCCTGTAATTGTTTTTAAAATAAACTTAGCAACTATAAAGTATAAGTTGCTCTACATATTTTATAATTGGATTATTTTATATCGTAAACGATATAAATGTATGTATACATTAGAAATTCTACCTTTTTCGGTAAAAATAAATTACCATATAATTCGACGATTAGATTATAGTTCAACTGACATCTATAGATTTTGCAATGAACACAAAAATAATATTTTTAAATTGAACAAATTATTATACTATAATACTATTAAGCCAAGGTCTATACCATAAGAATATATCCCACGATAACTGAGCTATTTTTTTAAGTGGTAAAATAAAATACTGAGATTCTTTAGTATTCTCCACTTAAAAAAGTCTGGATAAAATATATCAATCCCGTTCTTTATCCATAATATCAACAATGATAGATAATAGTTGGTTCTATTTTTCTGAAGATTAGATGACAAATAAATAACAAACCATATTTTTCAAGTGAATTATAAACTTTGAAATATATTTTATAATACAATGATTTACACAAAAAAAAAAAAATTATTTCATAACAATTAAAAACTATAAAACTAGTTAAAGAGTCCAAGAAAATACTATTGGAGTAAAATTCAGTGATAAATGCATAACCGTGAGTAACATGATGTATCAGCATAAACTATTTAAGTAGAGCATAACTGACTTTTCATTGCATTTCGTATAGGTGGTTTTTGAACCGTGTGAAATTTTTTAAAACTCACATACATTTAAATGACTTTTATCCTATTAATCTATATATATATACATTTTTACTTTCTTACGGCATATGATATATTATGTTTGTAGCCTGTAGTGCTCATAAAATCGAGGTAGAATAAGAAAATTGTCAAAAAGTACCAGTTTAATATTTTTAAGCGCAACATATAATATATGTTATATATCATATATTATGTACTATTTATTATACACGAGTATATAATATATGGTTCATAGAGCATGTATCCTGTCTTCATGCCAAGTCATCATATTGGATCATTGTTTAAGTTTTACGTAGACTGATTGACCAGGACGATAAAACCTTCCTCCAAAATCGATCTACCAGAACCCCACGAAATAAGGTGTTTTTATTATTAATTAGGCATACCAGTTTTTATTCTATATATTTTTTTTTACGTGCAGCACAAGACAAAGGATATCATACCTGGATCCTATTAGTGCCGTAGTCTGATCTTGAAGTAATATTTTGAAGTAGTCCTTAGCAGTATTGTTTCCGTAAAATATTTGATCGAGATTGAAGGCTCCTGAAAAACATTCAACAAACCATACAAATTAATACTCGCAATATTTGAATACCACGTCCCTACAAAATAATTGTTCAGTATAAATATATATTTTCATTTTAAAAGGAACCTTGAATGATTTATCATTTCTCGAGCGACCTCCTCTTAAGTATACAACACTATTCATAAGCAAAACAAAATAACGTTTACCTATAAATTCTTGGGCATTTTATGAAAGTCGACTTGTGATTTACATTCGTATAGGTACGTATGCACATGCTTGAAAATTTATATAATGTTTTATTATTTATTGTTATGCAAGAGCGAACCTTGGAAATGCACGCGTGTGTTTACTGAGCAACACCGATAATTTTACATAAGCAATAAATTATTAAATCCCTGCATGAGATAACGAAAAATTTAAAAAAAAATTGGCAACTCCTTCTTCACCCCTACAGATAACACCAACCGCCACCATAATACAGGTGAACATTATTAGTATTGTTTTTTTATTTCTTATTTTTATTTTAAAACGCTCCTCTCTTGTATCACTGTTTATGCTCAGTACACGGCGTGCGCCTGTTTGTACGAGTGTGTATTATTATTAATCTCAAACGATATATCTGTGGACGAACCTTGACGTTTGCAACGTATGTGCAACAAACAAGGCTAAATCGTGCCTCATTATTATACGATATGGTGGTAGTGGCCACAAAACCCATTCTCCCTAACTTTTTTTTTTTGGTTTTTGTCTCTTGTCTCTGAAACAATCATGTTCGTAGAATACCATTAAAAAAAAAGGGAAAAATGTAATTGAATAACTGCATTAGATGCTCTATTATAATCTTAATGATAGTTATTATTTTGTAACGTTAGTTCTTTCCTCGGAAAAATCTCCGTACAGCTCAAAACTATGATATCAAAGGATAAAATATAAATCCGAAGTACGGTAAAAAAGAGATTATTACCTAAACCAACTATAAGGTAATAATTTAAAAATAATAAACGTCACAATTTACAAATATTGACTCTTGTATATTAAACAGAATATAAAGTACCTACTCGAGAAATCTCTGGAGGCAGTATATGGTATCACTTTACCTCGTAAAAAATAACATTGAACATATTTTTATTATCATTCACGTACTTATCAAATTTTCATTAATGTATAATTTGGAAAACACAATTTACAGAACCATTTAAATTAAATGAGTTTGCCGCGTTACAAGGACTCGTATCAAGGGAATAAGTGTTTTGAAAAAAAGCTATAAATAATCATCAACTTATCACATCATGTTATAATAATCTTAACGCATATTTTCAATTATAAAGTACCAAAGATTTGAATCATATTTTAGAGGAAACAAATAATAATAATAAATACATGTGAGTTTCATAACCCTTTAAAAGTTCAAATACATTCAACCTTTGTACATTTATATTTATCAATCCACGTGTAAATAAATCCGCGAATAAGTACATGATTTTATTTAATGGGTTAATCAAATTAAAAATATTGTTTTGTGTTGTGTTCACATAAAAGACATTTCTTTGGCTAGAATTTAAATAAGTATAAAATACTTTTCGAATAATGATAGTTATGTCACTTCAAATAATTGTCTATACGATTAAACAGGTTCGGTAGGTGCAATAGACGATCGTAAATATAAATTTGTTTAAAATTCCGACAGTAATACTGTACAACAATATACAACAGATTTTTAATCATATAACATATGAATCTCTATACAACGCTACAACAAATATTAATTTTTAACCGAAATTCTGTAAAAGCGTTATATTACTGTAATATGTGGTAATTATTTTTAAATACAGACATATAACTTGTAATAAACGTGTTGCACTTCAACATATGGTTTTCGTAAATCAAACGGGATGAAGTTTCGAGTCATCCAAAACGCGTTGTGATTATAAGGGTTCCAGTTGATTGGTTGGAATTGAAATGGGTGTTACAATTAATGTAATAAAGATTCTATTACATAAACCATTTTAATATAGTACATAAATTATAATAAAACAGACAATCCGTACATAAAATATGAACATAATTAGGGTTGCCAGATTTTGAAATCCCTAAATCGGGATATCAAATTGAATGACCCAATTTTTTTTTATTTTTATGTAACTTTCATATAAACACAAAAATAAGTATATCATTTTGTAATTTAAATATGTATTAGTTAATACAAAAATACATTATTATTGTATACAACCATGCCGATTAGATAACCATAATATAATGATATAATGTACAATATTGTTCTATGTTTTATTGATAAATAATACGTATTAAATTATTTAATTTAAATGTTATTTTATCTCAGTTTTTATTAACCGAGACAAAATGAATGATCGGCAGGGACATCGGAACATGCTTATGAAACCGGGACTGTCCTGGTCAAACCGAAACAAATGACAAGCCTGAACATAATTATAAATCTACACCGAATTCTCTGATTTCAAATTATTTAACAAGGATTCGATCTCACTTTTCTATTTTTTTTACATTTCGGAATAAATACAATAACACACACATTTATTTTTAATGATAAATAAACAATATACATAATTACAAAAATTATAAGTATATAATTCAATAAAAATTACTACCATATATTATTCTTATTAAAAATTATTTTTAGACTAAACATCAATCATAAATAGAAAAATATTATTAAATATAAAAATGTACAAACAAAATTAAATTATTACATACATAAATGTAAATAAAAATTAAATAATATAAAACAAAAGGAAAATCAAATTACTGTTCATGGAAAGTCCAGTTTTTTTTTTTAGCTGGCTTCGTATTTTATAACAAAATTACAACTGTGCACAGTCGATAGAGATCAAGATCAAAAGCTTCCAGTCAAGATGACTTTGGTAAGATTTTAATAACCCGTCAACCCGTCATAAAATCATGGTTGAAGATAAACATAACAAAAAAAAAAAGTTAAATTAATGAAGAGAAAAAATGAAGTCATTTGTCATATTGTCATCCAAGAAAGATGAATAGACTTACTTTGTTTTTAAGAGTTGTTCGTGATGTTATTAGCCCCATTCGTATCAGTTTATACGAAGAATGAAATAAATATATCTTATTCTAACTATTGTTATAGTTGTATAATTTAGTTTGATATAATCTACACACAAAATTTACAAAACTGGCAGAACCGTGTACAGTTAAATTCGCAAAAAAAATAATGCTGAGTTAAATTTACTTCTAAATTTCTTTATTTTCATAGAAAATTAAAATGTAAAAGAGAATAAAGAGTTCTAAAAATCCATTTAATGGTTTTTTTTATTAACATTTTTTACTAAAAATCAAAGTAAAATGAAAAATATGTATTTTAATCACAAAAGAATTCCAGAAAGTGAAAACGTCTATCGCTAATGCGTATTTCATTCTTTTAGGATAAACACATTTTCTAATGAATCGGTAGTAAACAATAATTATTATTTTACTATAAAAATCACAATAGTTTTTAACTAAAAAGGTTCAGATTAGTAATTACATCAGTACTGCAGTTCTTCGAATTTTGGGAAAATTTCACTTTCAACTCCAACATGAAAAATAAAATAAAACCATTGCATGCAAATAATAAAGGGCGTAATCTCACACTTGGAATGAGATCAAAATAATAATATTAATAATCATAATAAAACTTGTTTACCTCATATATGGCATACAAAAAAGAAGTATATATTATCGATCATGTAAGCTGCAAAATAGCAACATTAGGAGGAGGGGGTCTCATTAGAATTCACGCAGTTGGTACCTATAATAATAATATATATTTTTTATATCCTCATTCAATCTTACGTTACTTTATAATTTATTAACTCCGGAAATATTATAATCTTGTTGTATTTTACAAAAAATAAATTGAAAACAAAATCGTAATATCATTTCGTTAGCCGCGCGCCGTCAATGGGACATCCCACCGACAAACCGGTAACAGCGACGACGTTTATGAAATAACTGTATATAAGCTGCAGAGTTAGAAGAGGTTGGCTCACGGCGGTAACGGCAGCCAGACATAAAGAATACATATTATTTTTTTAATCATTACTCGCCATACATAGTATTTCCGCTGCAGTTCAAGTCATGTTGCAATCGAACGAGTAGACGAAAATACAATAATTTGTTGCGTAAAATGCATCGATGTTTCAGTCGTAAATACATGAACGGAGAACGTTTTTATATCCTTAACCCCGAGCGAAAAAACCCTGAATTTTTTTCGGGACTAACTCAAAGCTGCTGTTTCGTACGTCACGAATATTTATATCATACATTTCCACTATATTTATCCGCACTTGAAATAAAATTGTAATATTTATTTTTTTGCGTTCCGATATTGGAACATCGTATACTCTTACGCACGGAATTGTACATACAAATTGATGCATAAATGTGAAAAAAATTTAATTTTAACACATTTTTAAAAACGGTTTTCATTCCTTGGTTGCGTCACTGTATTATAACATAGAACAACACGCTTCATACACATGTTGTTATAACATGATATTTTATGTGGACAATATTGTTTTATTTTATTTTTTTATTCAGTTATCGCTGCTGATAACAACTCTTTTCGGCGAGGATTTATGATACTTCGATTGATAAAAAAAAAAAACTTCTAAACGCGTTGACCTTTCTGGAACGTTGACGATGGCGCGCGCGCGTCCCGCACGCTCACGCACACACAACGCATGTTTGTGACTGTTAATTTAAGCGTGCAAGAAAGGCAAATGCAGGTCAATGCAGCGTAACTAGAGTTGATTGAAGCCAACTACAAACCGGCCGGCCGGTGTCCTCTCTCTTCATATTTATTCATCATATTTTGGAACACGTTAGTGTATCTTTGATACCAAAAATAGGTAGAAGCCTCCGATTTTCTTGTATGGCATAAATGTACATAAAGGTACATGTGTACGAATGATTGCGATAATGCGACGAAATCGATTATTCGTACCCATATAGATGAGTATTCTCCAAAGAACATAGGAAAACGTATCGAAAGATTGGCCATAAAAAACATTTTTATGTAATAAAACAGGATCTTGAAACAGCGTCCTCGCATTCCTATGCTACTTTTATTTCTTGTGAGATAAGCTTTCTTGCGAAAAAAGAACAAATAAATACCCTAAATACGGAATAATATAAGAAATACATAATATTATGCATCAAATGTATGGTTTTATATATAACGATGAGTGTAAAACTTATACCATTACAAAACATAAAATGATACTTGTATTTTATATCTTCTACAGATAGTCAAAACTACATGAGTAAAATCGACATTTTTAAAAATAATATGTACTATACTATTCATTTTAATGACTATAAGTGAACAGATTAAAATGTTCATAAAAATCGCTTTGCTCCACTATATTATCAAAGCTATATCAAAATGCATAAAAAAAAAGTATAGACACTCGAACACTCCTAATTTAGAATATCAAAGTTCCGAGTATCAAGATATTTTAACGCCTTGGGCTTTGATGTTCTGATAATTTATATTGCTCTAGATAAACGATATTTTTTCTTTATAGATTTGATCCTAAAACAAGTTTCAGGTCAGATGATCTAAATTAATAATGCTTTATGGCTATATTGTAGAATAGGACAATATTATCCAACCAACACACTACTATAACCATGGCACTTGATACATACACATACATATATACAATCGAAAATTAAATTAATAAAATAAAATTCTTATTTTGTATGTTGGCTAATTAACACGTGTGTTAAATAAGTTTGGTGTGTATTCATTCAACATACACTTTATATCAAAAATAACAGTAAACGCTAATTTGGTATTAGATAACAGTTCATTAATAACTTGTTAATTAAATCGTTAAATTATTAATATTTTATACAAAGAGATGTGCAAACTGAAGTAGAAGTAAAGGTGATAATGCAAAACAGCACTATAACGACATATAATAGATAATTGCATAAGAAAATTTTTAAAACACGCCAAAAAAGTAATAGTTATGCTAGTTATTTTGAATTATTTTATTATTTGAAGGACGTATTAACATGAATAGTTCGAAAAATTAATTAGCGATTCACTGTTTATTGGCTTAAAAAAATTTTTATGTACCTATATATATATATATTATATTCGAATACATAATACTTTTTATAAAATGTTTTATCAATAGTCATGATGAATCCAGCATAATGAAGATGACCTTCGCGGTAAAAATCCTCCCTATAGTTGTTATATATTGGTGTATTGTACATGTATACTACTATTTATAGTAACTATAATATTGAAAATGACATTTCAAATTGGAATTCAATTATTTTAGACGAATTACATTGCACGGTTAAATAATAAAATATATAAAAAGTATACTAAATTCAAAGTTTTTCATTTAACGGAACGCTGTTTTGTTCATCCCACATCAAATATAAGTAAACGTTTGCCACACCGTAATAATTGTTATTTTGATCGGGTTGAAGTACATATTGTAAACAAACAATCGCGATTATTCAAACTAAAGGTTAGGATATTGATACAGTATTCATAAGTATGAGATGCCTGAGTCACACACTGATAACACACACTTCAGATACGACATTATGACGAGAGTAAAAGAGACGTAACGAGTAGTATATACATGTCGTACACCAATAAACCGTAAAATAAACACGCCTTTAAATGCGTTCTTGTTACCAGCAAACATAATGTAAATATTTATGCAGAAAACTTAAACGCTCATAATTTCGTTATCCCTAATTTTACGGTTGCTGCGACGGGGTGCCGAAAATAATACGATTACGCGGCTACATATAATATACATCCGATGGTAATGTATATAACGTATCGGGTCAAAGGTTACACACACACACACACACACACTCAATATGCGTATAATGCTTACGAGGTGGTCGTTTGTTGCGGGTTACCTACTGCAATATGGTGCGATGTATGTACACAACACATAATACTGCAGCTGCAACTGAGCCGAGAGGGAAACACACGACCGTAGTAAGTAAATTATTTTATTGCTTTTCCGTGGAGACCTCCCAAAAACCGACGACCGCAGCGCGTATTTATAAATACAGGTACACACGTCCAATGACCAGTCGCCAAACCCCCGGAGATAATGTCGTTACCATCATTGTCGTAAACCTAATCCAAACCACACGCGATATCGTATTGCTATGAACCACGTACGTGCGCTTTATGTTTACACCACGCGTATACATTATACAGAAGTAAAGGAAAACGGATATGCAGATGATATTACAGATATCGAGACGTTGTGAGATCTCGGGAATGATAATATTTTAATAACATTAGAACGTCGGCATTGACCGTTCACTATTTTTTCACAATGTCAAACAGTCACAACTTTACAGTAACACTGTAGCACGGTGGGCGGCTTTTGGTCGAATTATTAGCGCGTGCACTCAATTTTAGATTGCAGTACTTATATTATTTGCGACAGTATTAAATATATATATATACATGTCGATAAGATCACTCGGACGACCGTTACACTATGTGTACATATATATTTCAAAGAATAATAAAATAATCTTTGTTCCAACCGAATAACTACGATTGATCGAAAATGAATAATACGCCATGATAATATTATTGTTTTTTTTTTTTTACGTACCATATCTGACACTGTTCTTGGCCGGTAAATTCTGTTGCCAAGCTTCAGTCAAACTGACCAATAAAACAAAAATGCAAACGGGAACCAGACTGCCGCAATTTGAACAGCTTCTCATCTTTACAGTTTATTTGACGAAGTCATCTGAAACTAAACAAATATAATAATTTAGTAAATTATAGAAAATGCGTCTAAAAACATAGATTTATGATATTTTATTGACGGTATAATGTGATTGATGAAAGTCTAAAATATAACTATAAGAGTTAACCTATAATATCAACCTTTAAACAATCTTCAAAGTCCGAAGACGACTATTTTACGCGCATAAATCACACTTATATTATTTTTTCGTATCGTTCACATGCGATAAGCAATAAATAAATAATTACAGGTCAACTTGCAATTAAAACTCGTAAATAAAAATTGCAAGTCAGCATCATATAATGCACTCTGCAATGTGTAAATATAATTTAGGTATGTGTATACAATCATACATGTGTCAATTACTTTAAGTTTATAATACAATTTATAATGACAATAAATGTATCATATTTCAAGATTCAGCTCGCGGGTATACATATAGTATTTCAAATGAGTGACTATTTAAAACAATTTGACAAGAACAAAAGGAAGGATATATATATATAGATGTATAATAATTAAAGTTAATTTAAAATAAAACATAATGGTAACTTGTATTACATAGCATTACTACTTACGTGTAAATTATATATTTACTCATCCTAACACCTTTCTCTTCAAAACTTGATCCATAAATCATTGTATAATGTTGCAAAACAAAACTACTTTTTAACGAATATATTATTTACTTGTAGGTATAATAATATCAAGTACCAAATGAATTATTGAGGACAATAGTCAATACTACTACGATGAACATTTTCTATACTGCAATAATATGTTTTATAATATTATTGAAAAATCAAAATTAATAATATTATGCAATAAGAAATTAAATAATTATAAATAAATATTAACAATGTTTTTTTTTTTGCTTTTTATTACCATACTTTGTATTCAAATGTATCAATAATACTTGGAAGTAAATTCATCACAATTCATGGAATACATTTTATATATTATTTATTAGTTTTTCTCTTGACTGCAAATTATTGTTATATTATAAACGTGTTATCAACATCATGTCATTATATTGATAATTACATAATATCATGGTATACACATGGTACAATAAATCATATAAAATATTGTATTATGGAGTAATCGACGAAATCGCAAATAGGTTCCATAATGTAATGTATAATTTTTTAGATGACCTACTAAAAGGTGAGAAAATTTGAAAATCTTATTAAGAAACTTAAAAAAAAAACTTTTTTACTTTATTTAGAAAATAAACATAAATTAAGGTACTATTGAAAATCACTATGATTTTATTTATAGAATATTTTTTCTGCAGAAATTATTAAAATGCAAAATTATTATAATCCTTAACGGTTAAATAACATTAAAAATGCATAAATTAAAACCAGTTGTACGAACACACACACGCATCGTTTGATTTAATTAGGTAATGATTAAAAAAAAAAATGCATTTAAAAATAATTATGGGGTTATCAACATTTTTTCTGATATCATATGATATGTATATTATAAATATTATTTATCATATGTTCATGTATATTATTCAGGTAATATTTTTTCAAGACCAATATAATTAAAAGAACGCATAAATAAATCGGTGATCTGGCGAACCGTTTGATGCAGCAGAAGCGGTGAAAACAAACAAAAGACAGATATAAGTTAGAGACAAACGTGTATAGAAAAATATAAACCGGGAGGTAATAATATATTCTATAAAATTATAATAGCAGCTATTATAAGTACCACGAGCCGTAATTAATTTTAAAACAAATTTTGGTCAGAGTCGTATACTTTTTAAAGTGCGGCGATCTACATAATATCATAATATATGACATTGAAACCTACGTAGAAATTTACGAAAACGACCGCCTCCGTAAATGACATTGCAACAATAATTAAACACGGTGAAACATCTATACGAAAATACACACTTGAATAACTTAATACGTTTTAAATTAAAACGGAATACACGGGCCGTTGGAAAAAAAATAGAAAAAAGCTAATCGCTTGCTTTCTCTCTCTAAACTCGTGTTAACAACAAAACCACACACACATACACTTATACACATATAAAATATACGTGCATAAAATACGTGCGTGTACATCAGCGTATTATTCATACTCGTACACATACAATAATTTGTAAGCGTGACCGATGAAAATATTATTTCGTCTATCATATATTAAATAAAAACACGTGCACCAATGTACCACACATCGCGGTCTGGAGGGAAACGTTAAATATATAAAATCGCTCGAAATCGCGAATCTCACGCGGCATCTTATCGGTAATAGCGCGTGGGCATCGCGTACCAGTATCACGCGGCGGCGTCTGAAACAGACACTTTCACCGGTTCAATAAATAATTATCGTACTAATATTATTATGATTGCTGCGATTATTATTTTACAATCCAAAGATGCTTTTACGTGGCTGTTAAACGCGTCTATGTAACGTAATAACAATATAATAATAATTATGATAATAATAATAATAATAATAATCGCACGCGCAGACGAATTCTCCACCGTATAAAGTGATCGACAGGTTTGATGGCGTACCTTCATCTGTCTAATTATTATTTGTCATGTCTACAACATGCACCGCACTAGGTATTATATATAGACTAGTGTATACTATATCATCATCGTCACGTGCATAGGAAACGAAGAAGCCACCATGATCCATGTACGTGCAGCAGCTTTTCGACGGTTTTTAGACGACAAGACGGTTTTCAGTTGCGGTGTACAAAGCGTTCGCGCACCATCGACTCGTTGTACACATGGTAGAAATTTACATATTATACGCGCTACGAAGCCCCGCGATCCGATAGGGTTACAAGCCGACATCAGTTGGTGAGAGGGGAAGTGTAACAACAGTATCGGATATCACGAAAACGTCTTAAGACCACGCGCCCGTACATGTAGTATTTTTGAAATCCTATTTAACCACCTGCCATTTCACTATGTGTATTCTACACCAGCTCTGTCACACATATGGCACATTCAGTCGACCAAGAAGGGTCGTCGTTACTATTATAATTAGTATAATATGTATGTTGTCGTTTAATAAATGCGAATCTAAGAAATGTACATGTTTTCTCTGAAAAATATACCGGCTCGAATGTAGACTTAATTGACATGTGGATTGAAGGTGTGAATTGATACATAATCGTTATACGCATTACACTTGTAAAAATGTCTTTCGGGCAACAGAACAATTTCGAACATTTTAAAAACCTATCAAAATATATTTTCGTTTTTAATACATAGTCGTAAAAATGAAAGTGTTCAAAAACAATAGCCATTTAACGGATTATAGGAAAAATTTGTATTTCTTATTATAACACACACATCTGTGAATTTTAAATCAAACAATATTCCGTTTGATAATTCGATACAGGTAAATAGCGCTTACTCAAATATATGTTAAAATATCCTTATTCGGTAATCATACGAATTAAATACCAAACAAAACATTTACACGCCGTAAATACGGAAATTGAATATCAGGGCGAACATATAGAGTATGTCCTAAATACATAAAAATGTTGTAATCTCTATAATAATGCACTATCAATATGATAATACAATATATTGAGACGAAATTTCTAATACGGAGTCTTGTATTAACATAAAAACCATTGTATTATTAGAGTTTACAGTTTGAAAAACGAAATTGATATTAATAATAATAGTGTATTCAACAATAATTCCAGGTTTTAAATTATAAATCACCCAAATGGTATCGATTTAATTCTCCTCCAATCAAAAAACGGAACGTTACGAAAGAGATAATTTTTTGGCGACGCGTAGTATTGTTATAGAATATATAATATACCACAGTATAGTTGCACAATTCTTGACATTAAAATACGCGAATTCACTTGGCGACGAGTATTTCGAAATGCGTGATACAATACTGAATATTATTGAGGTAAAATGGGTGATATTATGTATGTATGTATAGTATTCAAACTTTAAAACCAAAGTCATGTATAAATAATAGTTACTCGTACTTCACGATAAGCACTACATCAAGTCACTCGAGTGACACGCGTGTAGTGTTGAGATACGCAAAATCGTAGATCTGCAACAGCATTGAATGGAAGTAGTGAACCGTTTCATTTGGACCGAATCGAATATACGTAGGTACTTACACGCAAGAGTGAAGTACGTTCCGTGCGCACGGCGATTCAAACACGTGATACAGAACACGAATCGTTATTCGCAATCCCTTTGGCAATTTCAGGAAAGATCAAAACAATACTTTAGAGATAAACTGTACCAAACGAAGTGACAACATACGAGTATGTATTGTATGTATATGTATATGTATCCGTTTTGTGTACCTATATTTTATTTTTATTATTATTAATAGTAGTATTTTTATTAATACACATACACACAAACACACGATTATCATGGTTATACGGAGCAGATGGCGTGCGTTTAATAATATAACGATAATTCTTGACACGACAGCAGGTATACCCGAGGACAATTGGCACGGACTGGAAATCGCCACGGTTGACCAATCGGAACTAGATCGCATAATAAGCGCAAAATTGTTAAATAAAAGAAGAAAAAAAGAAAAAAGGATAAACGCACGCAGGCTTGATTGTTATAATGGCGCTTTGTGTCATCGCGCGTGCTGTGGCAACTGTATACGCGAGCATTGTACGGACGCCGTCGACAACCGAGCGTACTGTGTCAAACGTATTTTTGGGGTCACGTCAAAAGTGAAACTTATTTGCGACTACTAGACACTACTACTTCTACTCTACTAATACTACTACTACTACTACTACTACTAAACGCTAATAGTACAATACAATTGTATATAACACGGTACAATAGATAAACGCTAATATAATAATAATATGTTAGTGTGTGAGTAGAACACATACGCGCGCGTGAATTCTGGTTTTGGTTTAGCTAAGAACTTGGTCTCGAAAAAGCTTAATCGAATATAATATTATATACATAGTCGTCCAATCACTCATATTTTGTTATTTAATTAAG